TCCTCTGCAGAGTTAACTCCAGTCTTAATCCATTGAAATGAATGGACTGATACTAGAGTAAGTGTGCATAGGACTGCACTGTTAGACTACCAAGGCCAGAACTAGTGGATGTTCCAATCCTTGCAAGTAATGTGCTGGGAAATCAAACTTGCAACTGCTCGCGGTGCCTGTTACCCCTCAATCAACCACACTTTCAAATTGCTGATTTTCCTCACTTTACCATCCCTGTTTTGAGTGTCTCTCTGCCACTGCTCAGTTAGCAGCGTTCCTTTTCACCAAGGCAACCACCTGGTAGCTGCTGTCAGTCCATGCTCAAACTAACTGGATGGCTGGGAACTGAAATATTCTTGACCTTCTGAATCAATCCAGAGGCTGCAAAAACTAGTTCTCATCAATCCTGCTAAGAAGCTATTCTTGAGAAGAGTCGTTTACAGAGAAGGTAAGTTCCAGTCAGGTCCTGTCTTTTAAGGGGAGCGGCAGAAGAGCCTCTGCTTTGAGTGCAGAAGGCCCCAGCTTCAATCCCCGGGTCCCTCTGGCATCTCCCGGTAAAAGGAACAGGGAGTACGAGATGTAACCCAATAGAAGGCAGCTTCATGGGTACACATGTGTTAGTAGTAGGGGGGCTGCAGCTCTGCACAAGAGCCCCTGCTTGGCACGCAGAAGGTTCCCAGTTCAATCCCCAGGATCTCTAGTTAAAAGGACTGGGAACTAGATGATATGAAAAGACCTCTACCTGGATCCGGAAATAGATGAGAATTCTATGAAAGGACCTCTACTTGAGTCCCTGCAGAGCCGCTACCCGGAGCGGTGGCGCAGGCGGTAAGTGAAGCCTGCATTACATCTGGCCAAACAGCTCCGGCTGTTCGAGCCCCACCGCGTACGGAGTGAGCTTCCGGCCCTATGTCCCAGCTCCCGCCCACCCAGCGACTCGAAAGCCCGTTAAAGGGCAAATAGACAAATGGGTACCTGCTCTTAGAGCGGGGGGGCACCCGTCGCTTGCGGTGTAGCGGCGGCGTGAGCGGTGGCGGAGAAAAGATGGCGGCTGGCGAGGCAATGTGAGTGAAAGGAGGCTGGGCCGGCAAAGCATGGAGGCGGGGCGACGCAGCAGGCCGGAGCCTACTGGACAGAGGCCAGCAGCGAGCATGCACGGACGTGCGCTCGGTCCAAGCCCAAAGGGGTCGCAACAGCCAGGAAGTCGCAAAAAAGCAAAGACCAGCGCCAGGAGGACGTCGTCGACCGAGCTCCCGCGGACAACAACAACGCGCTACAGGGTGCCTGGTAGGCTAGTCACTCTCCCCCTTGTATGTATGTGGCCCTAGGTTAGGATTGGCATTAATGGAACATGTAAACCGCTCGGAGCCCTCAGGGGGCCCCTGCTTCCGGCCGCCCCGCTTCCAGACCTCATTCAACCAGGAGGAGGCAGGAGAAGAGGGAGGGTAAGTTGCTTCCTCCCCGCCTCTCCCCACCCCTGCCTGCCTGGGGCCAGGGAGGGCCTTGGTGGGGCTTCCTCACACTCCCACTGGCCTTGCAGGTCCACCGCCGGGCCCCTGATGTCAGGGGGTGTGGCATATGCTAATGAGTTATGCTAATGAGTTCCCCTAGCTCTTTTTCTACGAAATGACCCCTGGTGAGCGGTATATAAATTGAAGGAAATAAATAAATAAATAAATAAATACCCGTCAGAGTAGACAATACAGACCTTGACGGATGGACCGGGGGGGGGTCTGATTCAGTTGAAGGCCCCTTCGTGTGTTTATTTAAAGACCGGTCCATAGCAGCAGTCTACTCCCCCCACCACCACCTCAGAAAGGGATGGGTTGTAGCTGGGGTGGGCTGGCAGGGAAGGGAGCAGGCACAAGTTGCCGCCGGAACACTCCTAGGATGTCCAACCGGGATGCCTGAAACACTGCAAGTGGTTTGGGGGGGGACTGAGCTCAGGCGCTTTCGCCCTTCAATAGCTTGCACGACAGATGAGGGACTCTGTGGCTGCACATACTTTCTGAGGCACGTCACACTGATTATCCAAAGAAATCTGAACTGGGGTGGGGAGGAACCAGCAGAGTCAACAGGCAGGCATCAGGGCAACTAATTCTATGCAGATTTATGGACGGATCAGAAGCAGAGGATAGAGACGAGGAAGATCTCTTGTCCAAAGCACATTAACATAAAATCCAGCACATTACATATTTGGGGGGAGGGGGGGCTGTAAGCAAGCCCTGTCCTATCGTCTCCAGATTATGATGAAGAACCTAATTGCACTTCCACCGTTTATTCGCACTAGTCAGCTGCTATTTAATCACCGCACAATAACGGCCTTTTTAATGACATTAGGGGCCATTATGACCGTAATCAGCCCATAAGCCTTGCCTCTCTCGCATCTGCTTGCGCCCGAGTCTGCCAGCACCGTCAGCAAGCTGAGAGCTGCGAGGAGCCCAAGGTAGAAGAGCCGCACACCAGCACGAGTCGGTTCAGGACAGGGGCCGATGAACCACGAAGCAGACTGAGCGCGTGCTGAGGGCACCAGGGCCAAAGGGGGCACCACAAAGTTGGGGGAAGGGTGAAGAGCTTAGTTTGTACAGTCTATGGTGTTATCCTATGAATACGTTTTTGTATTGCTGCAACCTGCATTGTATATCTGGTCAGACAGGTCAACCACTAAAATGGACTGGGGGGGGGTTCAGTGTGGGAAGACGGGGGGGCCCCAAGACTGGTCAGTGCTCAGGGCACCCGGGAGCCTTAATCCGCCCCTGGCTCAGGAGGAAAGAGGGAGGGGTGATGCAGTTTCCTGTGAAAACTCTCCCAATGGGTCGACAAAACATGGGATATATATATGCTGGAAAACTTCTCTATACATGACACAACGCACCAACATGAAGTGGAATTTTATAACCCATTAAATATATGGTATCCCATTCTGGATAAAATTAACATAAATAAATTTGATTGGGAAAACATCTCTGAAGCGAAATACAAGTTAATGCTTTATAATTGAACTATAATACCTTGTCAATTAAAAAAAAAAAACTCTCCCAGGAAAAGTGTTCTTAGGGCTGTTTGGGAGCAATCCTCACCAGGTCTACGCAGAAGCGAGTCCGATTTTAGTCAATGGAAATGTTCTTGGTGTCACACGGTTAGGAAGAAATCCTGAGCAACTCTACTCAGAAGTAAGTCCTTAGGATCGCAGCCTTAATGTGTGTTGCAGGCAGCTCAGGGAGTTCTGTCCAAAGTTTTTTGTTGTTGTTATTGTTGCTGCCGTTGTTCTTTTTAATTTGGACCTGATTGAACTGTTCTATTGAGCCCTGCAGTCAGGCCTGTCGCCATGGTGGGGTATTTAGGGGTGGAGATCCACCACCCACAAGCCCTGCCCCACCCCCAGTGCACCTAGACCCACATTGGCGGGAAGGCTGGGGAAAGAAAGGGAAGCGGCACTGCTGCTTCTGGTCAGTTTCACCCCCCCCATCAGCTGTTAGGTTTAACCCCTGAAAGGAGGGAAGTGAAACTGACCAGAAGGGGGTCAGGGCGCTTTCCCCCCCCCGGTCCCCCCGGGGGGGGGGGGGGGGGGCTGGGGAAGGAAAGAGAGAGAGAGAGAGAAGGCAGGGTGATGGTGGTGGGGAAGACAATCTCTCTCCTTCCCTTAACTTTCCATAGCATGGGGGGTGGGGGGGAAGCCAATTTCTCTCACCTGGGGTGCCAGTTTCCAGGTAGTGGCTGGAGACCCCCCTGGCATTACACCTGATCTCCAGGTGGACTCTATGGCATTATACCCCATTGAAGTCCCTCCCCTCCCCAAACCCCGTGGTCCTCAGGCTTCACTCCCAAAATCTCCAGTTATTTATTATTTTTAACTCTAAGCAGTGGCCATGAGCAGTGGCTCACACAGAGCTGAAACATGCAGCCTCCTCCAAGGACCGGTCATCGCCCTGCATCAGGGCCCAATCATAGATTGGCAGTGGAACAAACGACTCTCAGCGGAGGCAGTTCAGAAAGAGACATGGGCAATCCTGGGTCACCCAGAGAGACAGCAGGCAGCCTCCTCAGTGGCCCCCCCAGGGGGGGGGTTTGGGGGGGGGGGTTTCCTTCATTCCTCATGAAATACTAATGCCCATCTTGCAGCAAAATATCTGTCTCAGACCTTAGTTCAGGAATTGCTAGTCTAGGAAAAAGAAAAGACCATCAGCTTCTGTTTTCTGACAGTCACTAACCCCTTCCTTGTGAATTGCAAATACCTTCAGGGCTATTTTTGGGCAGGAACGCACAGGAACGGAGTCCCGGCTGGCTCCCAAGTTGGCCATGCCCAGCAGGAACTCATTAGCATAACAGGCCACACCCAACAGCAGGAACTCATTAGGACTGGTTACATTCGGGGTGTGTGGCCTAACATGCAAAGGAGTTCCTACTACCAAAAAAGGCCCTGGGTTTTGACAACAGACAAGGTAAACAGAATAAGAAGCAAAAGGTGGGTGTGGCTGGATGAGCACACTTCTGGTAACATGGGGGTGTGGCCTAATATGCCAATGATCTGTGCTGTCGGGGTGTGGCCTAATATGCTAATAGGTTTCTGCTGTTGGGTGTGGCCTGTTATGCTAATGAGTTCCTGCTGGGCTTTTTCCACAAAAAGAGCCCTGCCTAACCTACTCTGGATCTAGTGGGTTTTCCCCCTCTCAACCCTTCCTCAGGATCAACTGATGTGACCCTCCTCTTAATGGGAGAAAGGCTGGATGCTAATCTAACAAATATAATAATGGGGTCGCCGTGAAGCTGAAGATGATGACATTTGCAAAGTATTCTAAATGTACTGAAAAGTACAAAAAAGGAGGACTTGCCGTAAATCCCCTGCGGTTTCCCGGGCTGTGTAATTCAGGGTATTTGCATGCATATGGTATCAGTGGTTCTAGCAGATGAGAATTAATGGGATAGCTATGATGGAAGGGGGACGGAGGGAGGGGACAGAAAAACTAAGCACACTCTGGGAAGTGAGGGGGGGGGGTATGTGCACTTACTTGTAATAACAGACATCGTAGCCCACTCGAATCCAGTGAGGCCTGCCCTGGAGAGCTTCCTTCACTGAATACATGACCGGCTGCATGCCTGCACAAAACAACACAACAGCTGTGTTACCTTAAAATCAAATGTTTTTAAGACGAAGACAGATGTAACATGCACAGAGCAGTGGGAATACTCTGGTGGTGCGATCATTCCAAAAGTAGGGCTTCTTCTTCAGGGCTGAGCACTGAGAACGCTGGGAATTTCCTCTGATTGGCTGGCCTGTGTGATGTCACTAAGAAGTCTGGCTTTCCTTTCCTTTTTGGTTTCATCAGATGGCAAAGGAAGGGGTAGTGCATTATTTTTTCCCCATTTTTTCCACCTGAAACACAGAGGGAGGCCCAAGACTGGGGGGCTCAGCCAGCAATCCAGTCACTGCTCTGCACCTTTGTCATTTCCACTGCAAAAGGAAGAGGAAGCAGACCAGGAACTCCAGTTTTACATTATATCTGTCTTCACCCTTGCTCTTCCAAAGCCACTGCTGGCTCTCTGCTTAACTATGATTAAAACAAATAGGTAGGAGGTTGTTGCCTTAGGGCAGTGGTGGCGAACCTATGGCACGGGTACCAGAGGTGGCACTCAGAGCCCTCTCTGTGGGCACGCGTGCCATCGCCCCAGCCAGACCCAGACCATCATTAAAGTGTCAAATTCTCCACCAAATAATTTCAAGTAAATGAAAGCATTTGGGATTGCTTTCCTTACCTTGTTTGGATCATCTTATGTTAATGTATGAGTTGTTTTTTCTAAAGTAAAACCTCAGTATTCAGGTTAAATTGCAGTGTTGGCACTTTGCGATAAATAAGTGGGGTTTGGGTTGCAGTTTGGGCACTCGGTCTCTAAAAGGTTCGCCATCACTGCCTTAGGTTTTGGGTTTTTTTGTTCTGTTTGTAACACAATGCCCTTCAGTCCAGATCATTAGAACACAGAACAGAACACAAGTAAAGTTTCCCTGGATACATTGTGGGCATATCCAGATTCCAGACTACAGACTGGAAAATGATTTAATCATCGTTTCCTGTCCATGAGAACCAGAGGTGGGAAGGGTCTCTACCATGAAATCATCAGCACGAGGATTCTCAATACTCCTTCAGCAAATGCTGGGAGATACGGAGCCGGGGCCTGGGAAGCATGGAGTTTACGGAGTTGCCATCCCACCGGTGGGGCGAGGGGATCCCCTGATTTCAGGAGCCCCAATCTGCTGTGGCCCAGCTAGCCAGCAGTGGAAGCCCCACCCCCCAAAAGCCCCCTCCCAGCACCACCAGCATGATGACATCATCCGGGAGTGACGTCGTTTCCTATGTTGGGGGCAACACTCGAGGTTTAGGGCAAAACTCTATGGTTTTGAGGCCAAAAAAAAACATGGAGCTTGAGCCAAAACCTAGAGTGTCACCCCAATCATTGGAAATGTGATGACCTCACTTCTGGTGACATCATCACAGCACATGTGCCAGAAGATCTCCAAGGAGGAACCGGGAAACCCCCCACTAGCAGCCAGGTAGGACCTGTCAACCCTAACAGAGGATGTGACATCACTTCCAGGTTGCCTCTGTTTGGTTTTCACCACCGAGACATGGGGAAATTCCTAGAACATCACTATGGGGAGGCCATATTTTCTCTCAGTTCCTCAGAGACAGGAAATTAGGGCTGGTGGCCAGTAATTCCCCACCCGAGGCATGTAAATAGGAGGCCTAATCAGAACCATCAGCAAACTATAGTTCTCGGGATTCTTGCAAGAGGCTATGACAGTTAAATGTATTTAAAACTGGCTTAGGTAAGCAGAGCAGATAGACTGTATAAAAAACAGACTTTGCTAGACATGATGATAGGAAAGCTGTGGACAACTGTCTCATTACAAAAAGGGGGGGTAAGGAAGAGCCCCAGAGGGAGGGCAATTTGGACCACAGCCATGGTGCTGTGGGGGAGGGCCATAACCCTTCTGCCAGCCTCGTTTTTCTCAAACCCATATCCAGAGCTCCTATTTGCAGGGGGATCATATGGGCATTATACAGGGACACGTATGGTTCCCCACAGGGCTATTTTGGGGCAGGAACGCACAGGAACAGAGTTCCGGCTGGCTCCTGAGTTGGCCACGCCCAGCAGGAACTAATTAGCATAATAGGCCACACCCAACAGCATAAACTCATTAGGACTGGCTACATTAGGGGTGTGTGGCCTAACATGCAAAGACGTTCCTGCTACAAAAAAAGCCCTGGCCGTTTTGACAATAAACAAAGTAAACAGAATAAGAAGCAAAAGGTGGGTGTGGCTGGATGACCACACTTCTGGTAACATAGGGTGTGGCCTAATATGCTAATGAGATGTGCTGTTAGGGTGTGGCCTAATATGCTAATGAGTTCTTGCTGTTGGGTGTGGCCTATTATGCTAATGAGTTCCTGCTGGGCTTTTTCTGCAAAAAAAGCCCTGGGGACAGACAGGAGGCTGAGGAAACGACAAGAGAGTGTGGGGGGGTTATCCCCCCTCACCTTGCTTTATGGTTCTGCTCTGAATCTGGGGGTGGGGAGGTGCCGTTTACTCTGTGCAAAAGATGGAAATTTGTTCACTGATTTCCAAACATCACATATCATAAATTGGCCCAAAGACTATGTTCAGTGGGAAACCAAGCAGATCTTGCTATGCCGGGAAGTTACAAAGAGAATTCTACAGGAACGGAGAGGGAAAAAGCAGCTGGGCATACAAATCAGGAAAATGAAGTCATGACATTTTTTTCCAGAACTAATCTCCTACGCCCTCCAGGACGATAGACTGTGGGAGCATGCATAACCTTTCCAGTATTAAAAGTCTGCACTTTTCCCCCCTCCACATTCCTCCACTCTCTTGATGGACTCCACTCCACTGAAATTTATAGTGTGCCCCCCACGAGGCAGGGAACAGTTGTGTATAAAGTGCCACTCACATTGGTCATGCTGTAGAAAACCTTTCCCCCTGTTTTCCTGCCCATATCAAAGTAGTGGATGCAACAGAAGATTGGTGTGGAAACACAGACCTTCCACAAACAGTCATTAAAAGTACGCCAGTCAAGTTAGTCATATGCAATTAAGATTCAATCTACTGTGAACCCAAATAGAAATCAAAAGGGAGCAATTTGGAACTCCCAGCACCCCAAATCTCCCTTTCCTGGATTCTGTAAACTCTCAGGGACTTTACAGGTATTGCTTTCTCTCCCACTTTCCTTTTTCCCTTTAACTGAATCTCAGCTACTTTCAATATTCTATCCTTCATGGATCATGTTCAGTCCTCATTTAGCTTTTGAGGAGTTTCTTTCCTTCTGGTTAATTAAAGATGTTATTTTTTTTCTTTGCATTCCTGGGGACAAAAGACCTACTGCTTTGCAGTTGGTCTTTTAATCCACCTTTCATTCTTCACATAGAGGCCAGCCAGTTGACTATTTGAATAGTGTTGATAGTCTTCGCTGCTTGGGTCCTACTATATTTCTGGTGCTTTACTGCTTTGAGATGTGGAGGCTTTCTTTTAGTCATCTTGGTTAGTGGTTAGTGGTGGACCTCTCCTCCACAAATCTGTTTAAGACTCTTTTACAGCCATCTATCTTTGTGGCCTTTACTATGGCCCCTGCCACACGGCAGGGGAAAAAGTGGCAAAAAGCGTGGCTTTTAAAAACCGCGCCAAAGTTGACACGGTGCGGCGGGATCCCATGGATCCCCCGGGCGCGCCGCCTTTTCTCCCCGGCACGATCAGACGCCGGGGAGAAAACTCAGGTCAGACGCCGAGCCAGCCGAACCGCGCATGTCCGAGCATGCGCAGTTCGGCTCGGAGCCGGGGAGAAAACTCAGGTCAGACGCCGAGCCAGCCGAACCGCGCATGTCCGAGCATGCGCAGTTCGGCTCGGAGCCGGGGATGCGCCGGCACATCCTTGCGCCGGCGATCAGACACCCGGTTTGTGGCGCGGCAGGGAGATGAACCACCTCGGTAGGTGGTTCTTACTTGAGCCGCATCATCGAGTGGATGGGCCAGTTCGGGGACGGAAGCACCACGCTTCCTAGATGTTGTGGTGTGATCGCGCTGGTTTGATCCGCCCCCGAACTGTCCCGCTACTGGCCCAAATCCCCTCGTGTGAACGGGGCCTATGTCTACTCTCAGTGAATTACATCATTTTCGCTAGAATGAAGTCCAGTGGCACCGTTAAGCCCAACAAAGTTTCATTCAAGGTATGAGTTCATACCTTCAATAAAGCTTTGTTGGTCTTAAAGATGCCACTGGACTCAGACTTTGTCCCACTGCCTCAGACTACCACAGCTGCCGACCTGGATCTATAATTTTCACTACTCACTGAGCGAAGGTGTCCTCCCTCTTGTCTGTCCTGAATCTACTGTCAATCCACTGGGTAAAGAAACAGTGAAGAAGAGGGAATCAAGTTATCTCACAGCCCCCTTCAAGTTCTGACTCAACCAAAGGGGCTCACTGCGTGTGCGGATGGAAACCTCCGCTTTGCACCAACAGGGCTCTTACCATAGTTGAACTGGCTGTTGGGCTTCTCACAGTTGATGATGTTGAAGCGGTAGGGAGTGGCTGACTTCATGGCGCTGACCTCAAAGTAGAACCACTGCTGGTGCTGGGAAGTGTTGACATCAGCGTTGAGGATCAGGTCATATTCAAACCTGGACCACAAAGCCACAGCAGCAATGAGTTAAGGATCAAACGGCGAAACGAGGCATTCTCCGCGGAGAATGGCCCAGGCAGCACAGCCAACAAATGCAGCAAGCAAGGCAGAATGCCGGTCTACTGGGTTGTACTCTGGGGGGCCACTGGATTAGGAGGGAGGAGAGAAAGGTTTAGAAGAGCCTCACTGGAGAGCCAGTGTGGTGTCGTGGTTAAGTGCGCGGACTCTAATCTGGGAGAACCGGGTTTGATTCCCCACTCCTCCACTTGCACCTGCTGGTATGACCTTGGGCAAGCCATAGTTCTGGCACAGCTGTCCTTGAAAAAGAGCAGTTTCTGTCAAGAGCTCTCTCAGCCCCGCCTACCTCACGGGGTGTCTGTTGTGGGGAGGGGAAGGGAAAGGAGTTTGTCAGCTGCTCTGAGACTCCTTTGGGCAGTGAAGGGCGGGGTGTAAATCCAATCTCCTCTTCTTCTTCTTCATTTATTTATTTATTTATTTATTAGATTTATATCTTGCCCTTCCCAGATGGGCTCAGGGCAGCTTCCAACAGCGGCAAATGCCATAACAAACAGTTAAAACAGTATAAAACAATCAATAAATAAAGTGCGGTGCTCTAGATATTAACTTATCTCTCCAAGATGGGATCCCTTTATCACCTAGCCTGACAACATAGGTTCTTGGTCACCTAGGCATCTTCCCAGGGCCGGTTCACTTATAGATCTAATCCACCGTCATAGATGGCAACTCGGTGGTGGCTTCATCTTTGAAGCATGTCTGCATACCGTTTATGAATCATTACAGTCCAGGCAGAAGCAGCAGAATCCAGCAGAGACATGTGCATT